TGGATTGGCTCGTTTCAGGGCTTGAACAGCTTGAATCGCTTCGATACTGAGCATACGACCTCTCTGTAATGGTTTCCTGTTCTTGCTACGGTCTCTCATCTTTATCTCCATAGCTCGCCGGAGAATCGGAACCCGGCCACCAACACCACCGCGTACTGTAAATCCGAGACGGAAAATATCCTCTCCGCAACTTCGCAGTCCAATCCCTTCCATATTCGCCGTTTAGCTCCGTCGCTCTCTGGGTACTCTGTGTGGTGCGAAAAGAGCGGAAAACGGCAATGGAGTTTTCTATAAATTACAATAATACCCTTTTGGTTTATCTTGGTTTTCAATTCATGTCCATGAATGATAAACTCTGTACCGGTTCTTGGACACCTCAAATTAAAACCGGGTTGTGTTCAATTTGTTGGATATAAACAAATATGATAACCGTGAAACTTGATAAATTTAACGAAGTCATCACAACACAATCGAGACTTGAACATAGCTCACGTTCATGACCAAAAGAAATGTAAAAATTACATGTCGCATTCAATAACCAAATCCGATTGGATTTTATTAATACATAGGTAAAAGAGAGTCAGAAAACTGAAACACCATCATACCTTAAAACGAATTCTGAATCCATAAAATTAAAATCTCCAATGTTAGAAAGTGTTAGTTACTAATCTTTGCGATGTTCTTCTTTCACCAATTGTGAAACATTCTGATTCGTCCATCAAAACTTAACCTGGAAACAGTTTTAAAGCAACAAGCGTAAACAAACGACATTTTGAGTCATAGAGAAACTAAGATTGGGTTGCAAAAGAAGATGATTAAACAGAGTAAAAGTTACCATTTGACTTCAACTGTTTCCCAGAAGAATCCAGACTCTCTTAGTTAATCCTCAAAACGCAAAGCTGCAAGTTTAATGCTCTGACCTCTGCTTCTTCTAAACAAGGACTAATCCTAATACAAGAGACTTATCACCGAGACGGGTCATTTTGAATCTTCTGCAGATTGGGAACTAGAACTATCACCCTCTCTCTCTGCACTTTTCTTTGTCGAATCAGTGTCTTCGGTATCAGCTTCTTCTTGAAGCTTGGGATCAAGTTTTTCATCCCTTCCTTGTACAAAAGTTTCGCTGTATTCTTCTTGTTTTACATCTGAAAGCTTATGAACATTGTCTCCCTCACCTTGTAGAGCTCGGATCAGATCATCGACGCTTCTGTCAGTTTCGCTTTTCGTTTGAACATCTGAAGACAATGTTGTATGATCCTCAGATTCCTTAGACGCTTGCAAAGGTAAAATGGATGGAGCTAAAGATGTTGTTGCATCACCCAAGCCTTTGGAGAGGCAAACATATTTCAAAACGAGCTGTTTATAACTATTTAGCAAGCCTTCAACATCTCCTATCCTTAAATCACCCGCACTGGCAAATATATATGGATATTCTCGAAAGATGTTGCTTGCCTCGTTGCTATCATCCAAAAGCGCAGCAGCACCCTTGCTTTTCAAATCCGAAATGGATTCAGCTTTCTTTATTGGTATTTCACTGTTCGAATTCAGTATCTCACTGGTCCCAGAAAGACTGTCATATGACTTTGCATGCAGAAGCGTGTTTTCCCTCGGTTCATCACGAGGGGGTGGTGCAGCGCCGTGATCAGTTTGATAAGACAGGCTTCCCAAACCAGAAAGGCGTGCCCGTGCAGATTCCATTTTCTTCTCAAAGTCAGCTTCATCCAGCGAAAGGGATTTTGCATCAATATTTGAGATGAAAGACTCTGCAGAGAGTACGTTTGTGAAGAAGTAGGCAGCTTCACCCACCAGTTTAGATTGGCGCCTGTACCTTTGTATGTACAATAAGTTTGAGTGAAACTGTGGAGGGTTAGCCTGGAAAAAGACAAAGCACATAATGATCATTAGTTACTGTAGTTTCAGAATCCAAGCATAAGAGCATGAACTATGCATAAGACATCAGAAACCAGCATGCATAAATTGTTCAATCCTTCACGTACCTTAATGGTAACATAAATCAGAACAGGAAGAAATTCGTCAGCTCCAGGTGTATTCTCATTTGAAGAAATTGAAGCATTGAAGAGTAAGTTATTTATAACTTTGCAGCAGCTAAGGATACACATAAGTTTATCACGCGGAGTTTTGTACATATTTATCTTCTGGAGCTCTTTTTGAGCAAGCTGCCACAAAAAGGAGAGGCAATATGACAAGTGAGAACCATTATTGCATTACGGAAAAAAAAATAGAGCACACTTATGAGAACTATATCAGACTAGATCAGCTTACCAGCCATGATGTCTCATTTTGAAAAGTTGGTTGTATATCCAAGTTTTCCGGAGAAATAAATTGTTGAACCAATGACATCTTCTGAGAGAGTGCCTCATCAGCTATAACATCCTCGGTGTTTGATGCAAATACCCGAGTAAATAACTTTGTCATGACATACTTCTCTAGGCCCTGTGTTTACAAAAGGAGCAATGATTAAGGTAGGAAAGATAGAATCAAAAGAAGACGAATGAATACTGAAATACTCACATCTACTGCACCGTCCAACTCCTCCTCGGAACAACCGGACCAAAGTGGATGAGACCTGAAAGCAACCTCCATTTTGGAAAAGAACTCCTGAACTGCATCACAGTCTTTTTCAGGGTCTGGTGCATTGTTCGAGAAGGATACAATGAAACTGCAACATCAAAAACTTGCAGAACTCAACAAAGTGTAGCTGAGACATCTTATGAAACTGAACAAGAAATTGTAGGTGACCAACAATTGATAAACAATGCAATTTCAGTGTAACGAGATCTAAGAATTTAGATTTTGTCATCACAAGAAATCTGTTACAAATTTATAGCAAAATCATCGAGCTAACAAGATCATGACATTGTCTCATAAGAAGTCAGCAATGTCAGTAAATCGGTATAAGAATTGAGAGCAAATAGACCCAAAACACACAAAAACTATTCACTGAAGTTAAGAGAGAGAGACACACACATGTATCAGCATCTGCACGAAAACAGGGAAAGAGAGGGGGAAAAAGAGGACCTTTTGATGGATTTGACGAGATCTGCCGCGGAGGGTTTGCGCATCCGCTCAAGGAAATCATGTACCCCTGAGAAGACGTCTGTGTTCTCCATCGACGATTCACCACTCAGATTCCGTAAATCGATGTCGATCAAGCTTAAACCTCAAAGCGATTCAGTAGCGAGACAATGGGAAGAGAGAAAGTTGATTTCTGTATCCAGAGGTTGTTGTTGAGTGAAGAGACCTCAAATCGGAAATCAACAGTTGTTAACAGGAACAAGAAGAAGAACAAGCTCGTCCAAAGACATTGATTCCGAGATCGATGATGATCTGATCTGGAGAACGAAAGCAAGCAGGCAAAAATATTGGGCCACAAATGGGCTTTAAATTATGGATGAAACTAAGCCCATTCAACCCTAAGGCAGTTTTTTTTTATAGTCTTTGGGTTCCAAGTGAGAGTATGGCAACTGTCCATAAGTTTGTGTATGAATCATCTCATTATGTATAGTTCAAGTACACAATCAACCCTTTTCCCGAATATTTCTCCGTCAAACTAAAGTACGAAACGAAAAATCTTAGTATTAGAAGTTTAGAACTCTTAGGAAGCTTGAACTGAAGAAGCAGAAAAAAATGCACATCAGCATTTGGGCATAAAAGATCAAGAGCTCCATAGTGTTTTCGTTCCATGAGCATACATTTTTCTGGTTGACAATTTCATTGAATATATGTTTCGCTACATCAGTCATTCCACAATTTCATCGTTCAAGCTTTAGTAAAAAAATATGAATATAGATGTTCTATAGTAGGATTCAAGATACTTAAAGATGAATACAAATCTACATAAGCTTAGTTTACTTGGAAATTTTTTTTTTTTTTTAATAGAAAGATCCACACAATTTAGGTTTAAGTTTGTGATATTCATAACGGTTTAAAACAATAGTTAGTGATAACTAAAGAAAAAAAAACTGTAGATAGTTTTTTAACTAATCAAATTAATTCATCGATAACAATACTTAGTTAAAAACAGAAGAAACAACTAAGTGGCAAACTAAATATTAAAAAGTTTCACGAAGCCAAACAAACACATAGCTTCTCTCGATAGTGAAAACCAAACAAACACACATGAAGTCTCTTTGTGGCAACAAAAATCAATTTAGTTGTCGATGGCCTATGGGTCTGAAAGCAAACATATTTTTCTATCTTTGCAATACCGACCAGATGCTATAAAAACAACAAAGAAACTATTAATAAATATAAAGCTTTGTCAAGTGTATATTAAAAGCAGAGATTCGATCACATACCTCATCGCTAAGGACTAAGATCTCAGCGAGTTTCGTGAGAGGTATGGTTGAGTTGCATTTTGACACAACGAAGATATTCTGCAAAAAGAAACTGAACCCATTAACATCTTTATCAACTGTTGAAATAAGAGAGTAAATGATTAAATGAGATGGATTTAGTACATGTTCCATGAGGATCCGTTTCAGATCTTCTCCATGCGTGTTTCAGCTCTTCTCCACGCGTGCTTCTTGGTGGCAACAAGATCAAATCGGCTTCTCCAATTTAGTTGATGGGCTCTAGGATCTAAAAACAAATATATTTTTCTATCTTTGCAATCTAACCAAATGTTGCCCGGCTTCATGATGTCGCATTAACGAACAACACAAACAAAGCAATTG